CCAGTCATTCAGCAGGCGTGTACTGACTGTACTGACTCCTATGTGCCACGTACCATGAGGATCCCCAGATAAGAAAATGAAAACCATGGTTTTGATCTTGAGACAATACAGCTCGTCTGGACAGAGACAGTTTCACAAGGACGACAGTATTAGGCGAATACTCAGGCTCTTAGGGAACCGGGCGCAGAGCATCCACCCTGGAGGGGTGGTAGGCTGAGCTCTGCAGGAGGCCTGGCGGGATGTTGCCATGAGAACAGGGAAGAGCAGCTGCAAGACCCAGAAACGGGCCTGAGCACAGCAAGGCTCCCAAGGGGCAGTCCATTTGGCATGGCTGTCGCTTGGGGGTGAATGGGGGAGGGAGGAGTAAGACACGAAGCCACATCCCGCGAAGGTGTGGTTTGATCCTGTGTAGTCAGAAGACATAGCAGAATCCTGTTCATGGGTTTGCAGTGTGAAAGGGCCTCACCGTGGGCATGTGAGTTGCCACAGGCTAGAGGACCAGGTGGAGGCCACTTCAGGACATGAGAGAAGTGAAGGGTACTGGCAGAGACAGTGGGTGGAGAGACCAGGAGTGAGGATGAGCAGGCTTTGTCAGGGGACGTTGCAGGGCTCGAGAGGGGAGGCTGTGTAAGGGGTTTGGTGGCTTCTGGCTTGGGACGCAGCGGGTTTGTGGGAAGAGTGGCAGAGTCATGGGTCAGAGGTGGCGGGTCCGGCTTTGACAGGTTGCATTTGTGAAGCCCGTTCGTGATGCCAGCGGTCAGCTGGATCTGGGCAGATATGTGTCCAGACGTGGAAAGGGTAGGGCCTCTGCCCCCTGAGCCTGTGAGTACCCACCATGCGCAGGTGAGTCCCTAAAATGCGCGTGGACAGCGCTGTCGTGGGAGGCAGTCGCCCACCACCACCCGCCGCCTTGCTCTTGACTCTGGCCCGGCCACAGTGTCTGCAGCTTCCCTCCTCCAGCCCTTCCTGTCTCCCGCTGGCCTCTGCCCTGTGCGTAGCCTGCCTGCGGGTGGCACTTCAGACAGCCGAGAAAGAGACCCTGGGTCATACCGACATTTAAGGGTCGTGCAGAATGTGATCACTCCTAAAAAGTCAGCGAAGGAGCAAAGGGGGTTGGGGACCCGAGTCTTCCCAGCTAGTTGTAGTCATTCTTCTGGGTGATTTCTGTCTGCACCTTGGTTTAGAAACTCTAAAAATAGTTTTTACCATCAAAATGGACTGGCTGTGTGTTTTGTACCTTGGCTTGGATGAACTAGTTTGCCTATTTCATTGGCTAGCACAATGCCTGGAGTATAACAGACACTCAAATATTTGTTGAAAAAAAATGAATGAAAGTCACTGGATGCCTAGTGTCACATAATTGTAATGTGGAAGGCCTGTGGTGGCCACCTTCTCGCCCCAGGCCCTGCACAGTGGCGTCTCCTGAAATGCAGCTGGAGGAGTTCCCACGTGTCCCTATTTAGGAGGCTGAAGAGGCTGCTCGGGAATGAATTCTCACCTTTCCAAGGTGACTCAGATGGTAGTCATGCCATTTGCTCCACAGTGATTTTTCCAACGCTAACTGGGTGTCCTACAATTCAGCTCAGCTCTGACACCAACTACCTGGAGTCAGTGTAGACCCCACAAGTGAAGAGCTCAGTACCCCAAGACCATCCCCATTTCAGAGGTGAGCTGGAAGTCTTGCGTGTCCCCAGGTTACCTGCACTTCTGCCCGGCAGACTACAGACCTGGGGGCTCCCACAGTCTCTCCGCAGATTCAGCACTTCTCTAGAATGGACTCACAGAACTCACTCAGGAAGGCACTGTTCTCGTGATTACTATCAGAGGACAAAATTACAACAAATTTAAAGATTTCAATTGGCTTTATTCATGATTCTAGAAGCAGCAACACCTCATCCTTGAAACAGCAAGTGTTCCAATGAGCTGAGCATGAGGTTGGCTCTACAGACAGGCTTTGGTTATTTCAAAGATACTTTTCTTGCAAGGTGGGGCAGGGAGGCAGAACAATAGAAAATCACAGATTAGTTGGCATGGGTTACATAAGGCCTTTTGTGTGTATGTAAGGATTAAAGCAGAGGGAACTTCATTATAATGCCACAGATTGAAAGGTTTGAACAGCCTGTTTGGGAAACTGGCTGTGATATCTCTCCTGATTTCTCTGAAGGTCAGATACAACTTAGTTTGGGTTTGATGACACCTTTAGCCTGAGTGAGTCGATTTTGATTTTTCTGGTCTGTTGGGCCTAGTGCAGGAATTTTGTCTAAAACAGTGTCCTCCTATGATTTTTATTTAACATTATGGCTCTGTTACAAAGGATACAACCCAGGAATGGCGAAGAGACACAGAGATCGTGGTTGAATGCGACTCTTTATGAATAACAAGACACTCCTGTCACTTGGAAACTGAGGGTTTTAGGAGCTTTGTGCCAGGTATCAGGGGCAGACTGAATGTATATTTTTTATTATACCAGAGTAATAGGAACATATTTTGGCAGACTCAAGAGTGGTTGCTCCTTTAATCTCAGTTCGCATCAGAGGGACTTTTCGCTGGCCTCTGGAGTCTGTCACAAGAACCTGTTCTATAGGTGGATGGAGCATGCCCCCCATAGCCCCTGTCCTCCAGAGTATTTGATAGTTTGAAATATTTTGGGTCCCACATTTTCTTTGTCTAAAAAGATGGAAAGAACAGCCTCTGGGGTGTGGGTGCTGGAGGGGCTATGTTGTTAGGACCTGGGAGTGAGGGATGGGACTGAAGCCCCTGTGCCCAGCGTTGGCTGCGCCACTCGGGCAAGTCTTTGATCTCGTGAGACCCATTTCCGAATGTGCAGGAGCCGGAGGGTGCATGTCCCCTCCCTGCGTCTCAAGGGCCAGTGCTATAGACTGTGAAGGAACCAGCCTCTCTGAGCTGCCGGCCCCGGCTAGGGGCTTTGGATTGTGTCACAGTGACTGCTTCGTTCTCATCTTAATCCCGGCACACCTGTTCTGCCCCTCTCTGTCCCGCAGCTGGACTGGTGAGAGGAGCTGAGGAGCGTCATGCCTGTGCGTGTGGTGGGCTCTCCCCTGAGGGTCTGCCGAGGCTTCCTTGAGCGCCCTGGGCTGCCCACGCCCAGCTGGAGGGTAGCGGCTGGCGCCCCCTCTCATCCGCCCCGAGTTTGGGCAGAGGCAAGCCTCACCCTTTATCTGTGTTTCCATAAAGAGTAACGGGAAGAGATGAAAAGCAAGGTACCGTGCCCACCTGAACAGAGAAAAGCCCTTTTCTGCAATCTTTCTAATGAGAAGTTACTGCCACCAAAAAACTCAAGAGTAATCCCTGCGACAGGCCTGTGGCTTGTCTGTTAGAAACAGTAGGGAGGGTAGAGTTAGAGGCAGACTTTCCCCAGGCTTGGAAGTGTGGGTTCCAGCCGACACGCTCCCCAGGCGTCTTCCCTCCAGCTGAGGGGTTCGGGACGGTCGCCTTTGACACGGTGGACCCTGTCGGGCGCTCTTCCAGCTGGGACCCGAAAGGTCCTTCTCTCTCATGTGATTTGGGCTTTGTAAGGAATTTGAATGCCAAGGTAGAATTTCCTTGGTAACTGTATAAACCTCTTGAAACCATTTATGAGGCATTTGAAGGGGGTGCAGGGATGGGGGGAGATGGATACTGTGTCTTCACTCCCCCTTCCCAGATTCGATTTTGTGTCCGCCCTTGTCCTTTCCTCATAGCCGTCCTCGCCCAGGGTTATATGGATTACCCTCACCTGCAGCATTAGAGGACCTTCCAGATTCTTCTCCTCACCTCCCACTCCGCTCTAGGCCATTCTGGGCACTGTTTTTTCCTAGATTCTGGCTCTGACCCTGTGACTTCTGTCCTGTCACTGGCTGCTGGGAGTAAGACAGGCTTGGTGTGTCCTCCTGCCCATCTGTCAGGGCCCCTCGCTCTGCCCCAGCCGTGCTGGCATTCCCTGCATCCCTCCCTTTGCATACCCACCGCCCAGTGTTGGGTGCAGAACTGACTTGGGTGGAGCGAGCTGCTCTCCCGCCTCTGTGCCTTGGCTCAAACTGGCCCATCACAAACTCTCACTTGTGTGCTATCGGCCTTCATGGCCGTGCTTAAGGTGACCTCCTCCAGAGCCTCTTCCTGGGTTCCCTTGACCAAAACGCATCACTTTCTGCCCCTCGACTCTTGAAGCCCTTTATGTCACAGTGTATGGATTAGAGTGACTGTGGACATGCCCTGTTTATCTGTGCTCTGAAGTGCAGGTTCTGGAAGGCAGGGGCCAGGGTTTTCCCTAGCACCTGCAAGAGGGGCCAGGAAGAGCTGCTCAATGAGTATTTGCTGAATACATGGATAATCTTCTGGGCAACGGGAACTATGTCTTCTTTACCTTTGGGTCTACCATAGCATCTCCACGTTGAAAACAGATCCATAAATGTCCTTTGAGATTGTTCATTTAAATAGAGTTCATGTCCTAAGACCTTTGCAGGAATGTCTTTTACAGGTGAAAGTCCAGGTATGCCATCCTACAGGTAGATACTGGAGCTATGTCCATGCTCATTTCCAAACCATCAAATCATGTCACTATTTTCTCAGGTTTGCAAAAGATGACATGAAAAGTCCCACAAAAACACGTGCATATACACACTAACAGTGGTGGTGATGATGGCATTTTTTAATATTGAGCCACATTATAGGAAAAAAAATCGAAATCAACTCTGGCTCTGAACCCTGGAATGTATACTGCTATACTCATAATGATTTTCCCTCCTGTTCTGAAATTCTTTCCTTCTTTCCATGAACACTGTTTTATATATGCGTGTCTTATCTCCATGGATGCCAGAGACCAGGTTTTAAATGTTAAAGTCTTACCCAAACTAGGTTTCAATACTTGCTGAGTGATTGAGTTACTATTCTATAGGAAAAGAAAAGAACTGTTAGCACGCAAGCTGTTTGTTTGGTCTTTTGGGTTATTTGTATCTTACAAATGAGCCTTCATTTCTCTCTGGGTTTGACCTCTTTTGCAGGGAGGTGCCCCTGAAGGACGCTAAGGAATATGCTGAATCCATAGGTGCCATCGTGGTGGAAACGAGCGCAAAAAATGCTATTAATATCGAAGAGCTCTTCCAAGGAATCAGTGAGTACATGAAATTGTGTTTTCAGCCTAGCTGGCATTTTAATGCTTTAGGGATTCAAAGGGTAAAATTATAGAGCTCTGAAGTAGAAATTTTCCTCTGTGCAAATTTATCAGATGCCATGATCTAAAATCTGCAACTGTGTATTTGTTCATTCTCACCTCAATTATTCTCTCAATTCTAAATTTCCATAACTCTGTGCTGTAACCTGTTCACTCTCTGTTTGGTGAATTAAAATGAAATCATCCTGTTGCAAAAATAAAATTTATTTTAATTAAAGGTTATGCTGTAGCATCGTGTTAGCATGTTGAGGGGGAGAGAGACAGTAGACAAGGCGTAGAGCTCCCGGTCACGCGTTAAACTGAATGGCTCTAAGCAATTGGAGCCAGCTTCATCCCGCCTCGCCTGAAAGGGGGAACTGGGTGGAGAGTTGATTTGTAAAGATTTTGCTCATTTCTACTAAGCTAATTAATGGAGATGACAGCTTCCTTGTCCAGCCCCAGTTCTGGGTCATGTTATGCTTCACATTCTGTTTGCCGGTTCCCCAAATGACCTTATCAAAGAGCTGTTTCTCGCCTGATGGCCTCACTAACACTCCCCTCTGCAGCTGGGGGGCTTCCAACTCGCCAGATTTCACCTTTACAAATTCTCTGCTCGAGTCCTTCTGTTTTGAGTCCTGCCAGAGAAGTACCTGCCGATAGTCAGCCGGGGAAACTGTGCTCTGAGCCGCTCCTAGGAAAGTCCGATCGGAGCATAACAAGGGACATTGGGAGCAGCACAGTGTTGGGTGAAACGCTGGCACTGACGTCCCTAGGGTAGCCACCTTGGGAAAAGTTGAACCCCTGAACAGTTAGCAGTTGTCCTCAAATATCTTGGCCCCAGACAATTCCAGAAGGGAAACTGGTGGTTTGATCTCTCTTCTGCCTGAGGTCATTGTTGGCGAAGTTCTCAAAGTCTGAAGGGCCGAGGCTTCCCAGAACAGATTTGAGTTCCATTTAACTGGTTTGGATCCATTATGTTAGACTCTGAGAACCCACAGGAGGAAATCTTTGGTTTGTTTATGTTGGCTTGATGGAAAATTAGTCAGAGATGGGGAATTCTGACCTGCCTTACTTCCTTGCTGCCGAAACGTACAAAAGAATGGCTCTGAGCCGTCCCAGCTCATTGGGATCCTGTCCCCTTCCCTTCCCTCCACCTTCATTAGGGTTTTTTTTTCCTGCTATTATTTCACATTCTCAACAGAATAGTGTCCTTCAAGCTTGTTGCCCCAAGGAGTTGAACTCTAGAGTGCCAGGGCTATAATTTTATGTGAGAAACACCCCATCTTCACATTCGTGCTCCTTCCTCATCATGGGCAGTGGGGGCAGATGCTCTCTGGAGGCGTGTCACTCTGGGTGACATCTGAGTTTGGTTTGAACTCATTACATTAGCCCCGTATCTGCTCAGATCACTCTCACTCTTTCCTGGTGGTGTTAGCCTTCTCTGGTGGTTGGGCTATGAAACAGTTTTCTTTTACAGATGGTTTTATTGAAAGAAGCTAGGCAGCTCCTGAGCAATATTTGCATTAACACCTTTCGTCCTTAAGCTCCTTGTATTTTTTAGAACCCTCTGCTCAGCATTCGCTCTCTGGCCCTGGAAGGCAGACAGCACAGGCCACGCCGGTGGCAGGAGGAAGCATGGTGCCTTGTGTGCATGAATTCAGCTTGAGATTTCTGCACCAGCTAGTAGACTTTCTGGGGCTTATGAAAGTCATTATTAAGACAAAATATCAAATAAGGACCTCAAAGAGAACAAGCCTAAGCAGGAAGTACTGTATTAATATCTTAGCTTTAAGGATCTATTTCTTTGAATGGTTCAGCCAGTATAAATCCCTTCCTGTGTGTGAGGTCTATTCCTCAGTTACTAGTGGTCTGCTTCATTGAGGGGAAAACAAGTGCTTTGCTTAACCCGTGGAATAATCATGGCTTTGAAGTAATTAATTCCGATATAAGCCATCAAATACCTGTATCTCCTCATCTTCCATGTCAAATACATCATGTGTCTGTTTTATTATACTTTAGTTACAATTGCCTTAACAAAGAAAGCTTGTAAACACTGCCAGGGCAAAATCTCCATCCATCCATCCACCCATCCACACCTGTAAGCTCTGGTACCCTCCCTTCGCCTCCTGACTCCTTCAGGTGAATTTCTTCAGAATGGGGTTCTGCAGCCTAATTGCAGGTTAATTTAAAACACAATTGCAAGAACACCCAAACATACTGCAGCAGACTCTCATTTATTTTCTTTTTCCCTGTTCCAACTTATATTACACGCGCTCCTCCCTGAGCTTAAAATAGAAGTATATATTGCTGACACCTATGCTCCCCAGAGTAATGTTCCAGAGACAAATATGCCTAAAGAAAGGATGCAATAAAAAGTCAAGAAGGAGTAGTGAGAATAAAAGCCCTTTAAAAAGGTATGCACAAACAAAATTAATTCACGTTGACTTGGATGAAGAGACAAATGTTTCTTATTTACATTCCCACAGTGTTCATAAACCAGAAATGAGACAACTATGTTTTCTGAGCATGAGCTACTACGTTTTCTAACTGGAGACTGTTTACCGAAATGATATATCTATTTAAAGGCTGAAGCTACCCTATAAAGGATTTAGGTGCTGCTCTCTTTTGGATAGTGATCTGCACAGAGCCTGACCTCATATAATATATTATCCTTTGGTTGGTATTCCTCTAGGTACCCCCCCCTTTTATCTTTGAGAAATGGGGTCTCACCTTGTTGCCTGGGCTAGACTTGAACTTCTGAGCTCAAGCAATTCTCCTGCCTCAGTCTTCCAAGTAGCTGCAACTACAGGCGCATGCCACTAAGCCTGGCTAATTTTTTGTATTTTTAGGACAGACAGGGCCTCGATATTGCTCAGGCTGGTCTCGAACTCCTGAGCTCAAGGGAGCCTCCTGCCTTGGCTTCCCAGAGTGCTAGAATTACAGGCATGAGCCACTGTGCCCAGCTCCTTCCACATATTTCTACCTAGGGGTTGTTCATTTTTCTTTCTTGGGCTTATATACCTTTAATTTGAACATTAAAGGTTTTCTCTTTGAATTAAAATATAAAAAGTTCTTGCCCCCCAAAAGAATTGTACGTTTGAAATTTTAAAGTGGTGTATGAAACCACAAAGAATATTCTGTTTATATACTAGAGTTACAAATGAAAAACAATGAAGCTCTATGGCTTTCCACATGAACTGCCTTCATCGCCCTCCTCTGCGTGCCGCGGCGTGAGGGCAGGCTACAGCCTGGTGTCAGCGCTTGCCCCGTGGCACACTCGCCTGTCCCAGCCCGGTACCGACATCGCTCCTTTCCTCCCTGCAAACCTGCATCCCTTCAAGGCCCAGTTCCAGTCTTTTCCATCATGACGCCATCATCTGCTCCAACTTTCACTGATGGTTTCTGCCTTTAACTTGAGATTATTAAGGTTTGTTCTGTCGTTTTGACATTTGAATGTATTCTACCTTTAAATGATTCCCCAGGTGTTTCCGGTATATATCTGTTCTTCCAGGGATGCTGCAAATTCTCTGGGAGCAGAAGTGTTGGTCTTTCATATTCCCCATGAAGCTGAGATTAGTAAATAGTATCTACAGGACTACATTCAGGGTTTTGAATTTGTGTCTCCATCTTCATCTCATGCTTTTCCAGGAGATAGTGTTTTGGTGAGTTCACAAGGTCAAGTGAATTGAAATCACTTTTCTATGGGGACTGAAGGTTGAATAACGCCAGCACGTGGGATAAGTGTCTCTTGATTTGTTTATGCAGCAGATACATATACTGTACTCGCTTCTGGGTTAGGTGCTGTGCTAGACACTGGGAATACATGGTGAGCAAAACACTGACAGTCGAGATGGGGAGATGGCCCGTAGGCACAGAGTCAAATCCATGTATAATTACATGTTGTAATAAATGGTAGGAACAAAGAACAGGACTGTGAGAGACTATGATGAGAGGTTAGAATGGGTGGGGAAGGCGTCCCCAAGGGAATGATTTTGTTTTCTTTCTTTTCCATTTTTTTTATTTCAGCATATTATGGGGGTACAAATGTTAAAGTTACATATATTGCCCATCCCTCCCCTCTCCCCTTGAGTCAGAGCTTTAAGCGTGACCATCCCCCAGACGTTGTATATCTCACTATCTTTGTATATACCCATCCCCTCCTCCCCCCCACCCACCCAACACCCAATAAATGTTATTCCTATATCTCCACTGAGGTGTTGATCCATTAATACCAGTTTGCTGGTGAGTACATGTGGTGCTTATTTTTCCATTCTTGAGATACTTCACTTAGTAGAATGGGTTCCAGCTCTATCTCGAAAATACAAGAGGTGCTATATCATCATTGTTTCTTAAAGCTGAATAGTACTCCATGGTATACATATACCACATTTTATTAATCCACTTATGTATTGATGGGCACCTGGGTTGTTTCCACACCTTTGTGATTGTGAATTGTGCTGCTATAAACATTCGAGTGCAGGTGTCCCATTTGTAGACTGTCATTTGATCTTTTGGGTACGTGCCCAGTAGTGGAATTGCTGGATCAAATGGTAGATCCACTGGCATCGCTTTAAGGTATCTCTATATTGCTTTCCACAGAGGCTGAACCAGTTTGCAGTCCCACCAGCAGTGTAGGAGTGTTCCTATCTCTCCACATCCACGCCAACATCTATCATTTGGGGACTTTTTGATAAAGGCAATTCTTACTAGAGATAAGTGATATCTCATTGCAGTTTTGATTTGCATTTCCCTGATGATTAGAGATGTGGAGCATTTTTTCATATGTTTGTTGGCCTTTATTCTGTCTTCTTTTGAAAAATTTCTGTTCATGTCCTTTGCCCACTTTTTGATAGGTGTTTGATTTTTCCTTGCTGATTTTCCTGAGTTCTAAATAAATTCTACTTATCAGCCCTTTATCGGTTGTGTAGCTTGCGAAAACTTTTTCCCATTCTGTAGGTTGT